TACTATATATATATATATATATATATATATATATATATATATACTTCCCCATGGTGATATTATTTAAGAGTTATGGAAGATATTGCTTTTGACATGCCAGGCACATGTTATTAGTTTGACTCCATAGTTTCAATTCGTGTCTCTTTTAAAGTTTCTTGATTGTTCTTTGTTCAGAAAAATGACGTCTATGTTCTTCACAACATGCATCTTATTCTTTATTGCTTCAATATCTGTGTTGCCTAACCAAATGAAAAGAAAAAAAAAGGGTCTCCCTGGTGATTAGTTCATCAGAAGAAAAAAAGAAAAAAATGTCTTGGGAACTGCTTGGTACTGTATACCTGACTTAAAAATAGATAAGATGCTTTTTTTGTGTTTGATCTACAGCTTATCAAGAAGCGTTTGAAGGAATTTAGCATTTTTGTACCTTCAAGGCTTAAGTTATTCAAGATAAGGAAAAGGTTCAATGCTGGACCCTTTGAAGTAGAGCCCATTAGGGTTACTCATTCCATTCCAGATTGTTGTGGACTGGTGCTGCGTTGTGCTGATGGCACAATTTTTCATACTGGAGACTGGAAGGTGAGTGTTGTTCCTAGGTTTTGTACATCCTTTATTAAGCTTTGAATTTTTGTAGTTATGTAGTTATGAACTTATGATATGTCTACAGATTGATGAGTCACCATTGGATGGAAAGATTTTTGATCGTCAGGCTTTGGAGGAACTTGCAAAAGAAGGTGTTACATTGGTATGTACTGCAAGTCATATGTCACCATTGCTTGATTTTATCCCAAGCTTTCAGAGTGTAAAGGGATCTCTTACAATAGCACATCTTAGTGGCAAGAACCTTGTTCCTTTCGTTGTGCTGCTGCTATAGAGCCTCATATCTGTGTCTGGAACAACATTTGGTAGCTGCTTCATATGTAATTTTTCTGCTCCACTCGTCCATGGGCCATATGTGTTCTAGAAATGTTTGGCTTTTTGACATGAAACAAGTTGGATATTATGACAATGAATTTGTTTGTACGTGATGTTTCTGTTCCTTTTGGCCAGACCATAAACTGTGAACATCTCATAAATTGAGCAAGTACTTACTAATGAGAATATGGATCAATCAATTGATAGGAATCAGTCTGCTAGTTTGGTATTCATTTATCCTCTAATTTGTTCTCACAAGTGATTATCAAGCTTTAGCCTCGGATCACTTCTGATAGCTATGTGGTTTCAGATGATGAGCGACTCAACTAATGTTCTCTCACCTGGAAGGTCAATGAGTGAGGCTGTTGTAAAGGATGCATTACTTCGGAATATTACAGCTGCACAAGGAAGAGTAATAACTACACAGTTTGCATCTAATATACATCGCCTTGGAAGTGTGAAAGCTGCAGCTGATATTACTGGTCGAAAACTGGTAAGTATCGCATGTCTTCATTTAGAGGCATTTAGCTTTTTTTTCTGCAGGTTATTGAGCCATTGCTCAAGTTTTATGATATCGAGAGCTTGTGAGATTCTCCTTTTTTTTCCAAGTGTTCATGATTAACTGCAGTCTCATGCATGTAACAGGTCTTTGTTGGGATGTCACTAAGGACATACCTGGATGCAGCCTGGAAGGATGGGAAGGCACCGATGGATCCTTCAACTCTGGTATGTGTTGACTTGTTGAGATGAAAGTGGCCGCTTCCTTTTTAAGAAAAATATAGCATTGTGTAGCTTCGCTGCTTTCAAAATTCATTTATGAATTGGAATTTGGTTCAGTTTAGTTTCTTTGGATTCAGCATTTAAGTTTTTGTTCTCTTGTGGATACAGTGTGTTTAATTAGGCATAGCTAAAACTTTAGTTTAAACCTTAAATTGCTTGCCTATGCTCCTGTTGCAATTAATTTCGATAGATCTTGGAGATGTGGCTTCCCATGCCCCTATGGATTTATAAGAATTACAGACAGAAACTGGTCGAGCTCCTTTTCAGTTCTTCCAGAATTGCCTTGAAACCTCCCCTTGCCACCCATTTGGATGTCTCCTTCCCCCCCACCCGTCGAATTTTAACTGAACTTCATTGATTAAATAGATAGACCATTTAGATATGCCTTCACCTGCTGCTGAAGAATTCCTTGTTTTCGTTTTAGTTATTTTTTTTGTGGATTGGCAACTGATTTTGTTTGAATTCCATATGAAAATTTACATACAAACAACTATTGAAAATGAGCCTATGTACAGTATACTCTTATGCTATGCATTAAAAGCAGTGATTACTTGTGCTGGTTTGGAGACTCCTTCACTTGCCAATACATTGTTGATTAGACTCTTTCCATACATGCTGTAGGGACATTTGCAAAGTTCAACATCAACGTCACATCTCTTCGAAGTTCGAACACATTATTCAACCATTGACGACGATCTCCCCTTGGTCATATGACTGATAACATCGCTGTGATGTCCCTCCATGATGATTGATTTCCACTCTAGGTCAAGGTTTCTGAGACCAAACAGCCTAGTCCATGCTTTGGCTTCATTTCAATCACAATTATATAATGGGACTGAAGTCATTATACGCTTGTCGGGGTCACTACTATCTCTTGCATCATTGGCCTCATATTTTTGGTGATCTTTAATTTCACAGTAGTGTCTCTTTGACTCTCGAAGTCCGCCGCAGAGTAGCCCCATAATTCTTTTCTCAATCTAGCCTGGGAGGCAAATATGGCTCTGAGGTGCTTTCATCCTACTATTTCCTGCTTCTGATCTTTGAAGTATTTTTGTTTGTCCCCAACCATAAGATCCAAAGAACTGTTAGTATGCAGCCTCCACATGAGAAGACCTACTTTTGTCAGGGGGTAAACCGTTCCACAAGTAATGCTTCTACAGAAGGGGGCTCTACCCATACAATATAAAACAACTTCAAATGCAAAGGATCACATCTGTCTAGCAGTGGCACACTGCAAAAGCAGGTGGCTTACTATTTCTGCATCATGATGAAACAGTAACCAACTGTTAGGGGTTGTACTTGATATTCCTTGCTTAATCAGATGATCGGTCTGCACTGTCTAGGCCCCTGAGCCACTTGAATGCTTGAGTCATTGTTCTTCCAGTTCCTTCAAAGTGCTTCTGCATGGCACAACTCACCAATCTCTACATACCTCTCTTGTGGTCTTCCTTCCCTAGACCGAAATGCTTGTAACGGTTGTCCAAAAACTCATCCCTATGACTGCAATTTTCAATATGATGTGCTTCTTAAGTCCTAACCTCAGATGAAGTTACAGCCATAAACCTGATGTCATCGACTTTGATCTCCATCAGAAGACTGCATCCATATAGAAATTCAAAAGCCTCAATTTTGTTTTGTTCCATCAATTTTTACTTTAACCTCTAGCTCTGGTATCATCAACACCTTTAATGATCCTTTGGTAAGACCTTACTAGCCAACGAAAGATTAATTCTATCCTCTGGTTAACATGCTTTATTAGGGCCTTTTTAAAACTCTAGACATGGTGTTAATAATGAAAAAAGGGAAAACTCCCCCCGGCATCTAGTTTGTGTCATACTGAAAAGTCAAGACTTTTTGGGCATGCAATGATGTTCAGAAGGGTTGACCTCACAGTTAATTTCGTGAAACTGCAAATAAAAAAGAAAAGGAATTTGTATGGCAACATTGGGGTCAGAATATATGATTGAGCTGTCTTGGGTATCTCAATCACTTGAACTTTTTATTTGTCAAATTATAGTCTTTTGATACTCACGAGTTTTGAGGTGTCTTGGCATATTATATCTCAACTCCATTTTCACAAATTTAGAAATTTCTTATTGAGTTATATGATTTTGTCCACTGCAAACAATTTAACATATTGCCAAGAAAAAAAAACATTTGATGTGTTTTTCTTATCCTTTTGCAGATAAAAGTGGAGGATATTGATGCTTATGCTCCAAAAGATCTTCTAATTGTCACAACGGGCTCCCAAGTAAGCTAACACTCCCATTCAGGTTCAACTCATGGATTATATTGGTGACTCTTAATATCCATACGTTAAATGAAGTAATTTATTTTATCAATTACTACGCAGGAAGAAGTTCTTAATATTTTTTGGTGCCATTTTTCTGAGTGACTTTTGCCAGAATGGTTCATTCAGTTTGTCTGAAATCCTTTTCATTTCTTAGCTCGACACACTAATATTCACCTGCCTACAATTCACCATCATTGTCATGATTGTTTTCTTAATTATTACTTGGAGACGGCATAAACAACAAATTGACGGGAAAACGACAGGCATCCTTGCCCTGCAAAAAGGGTCCTTGTTAAAACCTCGGGTCTCGAATATCCCATGCACCCCCTCAATTTTGGAAATTCGGACTTGGACCTCTTATCTCTTTTTTCCAGTTCTAATCACATCGTTTATTCCAATACCATTCCTAATTACTCCTTTTTGTTTATTTAATTTCTTCAACATCCAAAGTCTCACTCTGCCTTCCTTCATAATAGAAAGACCTTTCAATCTCACCCATCCATCCAACCTTCCTTTCCCCAGCTGGAGTCCGATAGCCAGATCCGCCTCTGATGCCTGATACCATTTTCAGAGCCCTAGTCTTCAGCCTTCAAGATGTTCTTCTCCCGGGAGGTAGTTCCATACTTAATTGAAAGCTGCTTTTCTCCTAGGCGGATAATCTGAAGAAACGCCTAACCCCCATATTGGTAGATCCGATGAAGTAGGGTTGGCCTGTCGGAAGGGGAGTAGGAATATTCATAAAATACATATCTGCAGGCCCAGATGGCGAATAAAATAAAGAAAATCTATGCATGCGGGGGAGAAGAATATATATGATAATGACCGGCAGGAATATTCATCAAAGTTCCATGCCTTCCTTTATCGGCTTTATCCTCCCCTCAAAAATGCTGATAGCTGCTGCTATAGCCGATTCAGTCCCAGCCCAAAAAATACCGCACTCCGGGGTACAGAAAACCCCTTAGAAAATAGTGAACCCTTCTCTCTTTCCTATGGCGACCTCACGGGAAAGCCCACTGGTAAATAGTGAAACCTCTTCTTTGTCCAAAATCCCTTATATTTTACTCTCTCTCTTCCTCTCTCTCGTCCTTCACTCTCTCTCTCTCTCTCTCTCTCTCTCTCTCTCTCTCTCTCTCTCTCTCTCTCTCTCTCTCTCTCTCTCTCTCTCTCT